TGTCGATTGTCCTTGTTATTTCCATCCCTAAGAATAATTCAACTTCACCCATATCCTTTGCCTTAAACTCCTGTTTCAAATTTCTTATAGTTTCTAACAAATTATTTTTGTCACCGGTAATTAATATGTCATCTACATAGAGTACTAGCCAAATGTTTTTCATGGTATTTTTATATAAACAGAAATCATTTCTCGATCTTTCAAAACCTTTTTCTTCAAGATAATTATTTAATCTCTTGTTCCAACATTTTCCACTTTCTCTCAGTCCGTATAATCCTCTATTCAGCTTTAAAACATTTCCATCACTAACTTCTACTCCTTCCGGTGGTCTCAAGTATATTTCTGATTCTAATATTCCATTTAAGTATGCTGTTGGCACATCTAATTGTCTTATTGGCCATGAATTTTGCACTGCTTCTGCTAGGGTAAATCTCACTGTTGATGTTCTTGCTACTGGTGTATAGTTATTGTTTCCAAATTCATCATTTTCTTTTATCTGAAACCCTTTTGCAACTAATCTTGCCTTTTTTATTCCATTTTCTTTTGTTTTGAATATCCATTTTGCTTCAATTGGTTGTTTACCATTTGGCAATTTAGTTTCTTTCCATGTATTCATTCTTTTTAATGCATCTAATTCCATATTAATTGATGATGACCAACCCTTTTCTATAGCTTCATCATATGTAACTGGATCATCTTCGCTGTAAAAACAATATGCCTGAAAATTAAGATGGTAGTTATTAAGATAGTCTGGAACTTTAATTTGTCTCCCACTTCTAGTAGTTGTCACTGGCTCTACTGTATCTGTTTCATTTTGCTCTTGTATTGTTTTTTGTGAATTATCATATTGTACATCCGGATCTTCTTCATTTCTCACAATTTTATATCTTATTCTATTTTCCTCTTCTTTTGTATTCACTTCTTTATTATATTTAATATCCGTTTCATCAAAGGTGACATCTCTTGACACTATGATTTTGTCAGTATCTGGAATCCAAAGTTTCCATCCATTTTTCGCATATCCAATCATTCTTGTTGCTACAGCTCTGTTTTCAAATTTATTTGCTCTAGGTAAAATTACTGCCCAAGCTTTGCAGCCAAATATTTTTATATCATCTAACTTCATATCTCGTTCAAATCGTATTGCAGGTATATCATTAAATATTGCTTTTGATGGTGAACGGTTAATTAAGAATGTAGCTGTCAAAACTGCTTGTCCCCATAAGTGTTTGGGCAAGTTAGACTCACTCATCATTGTTCTTGCTTTATCTAATATTGTGCGATTCATCCTTTCAGATTTTCCATTCATTTGCGGGCTATATGGTAAACTATATTCAATTTGTATTCCTTTATTTTGACAAAAATCTTTTAAATAGTCTGAACAGTACTCTCCTCCATTATCACATCTTATTTTCTTTACTCTTATTCCTTTTTCAGTTTTTATTATTTTTATGTAATCAATTAAATTTTGCGCTGCTTCTGATTTATTTTTCAACAAATATGTAAATGTAAAATGTGAGTAGTCATCTATGATAGTTTGATAGTATCTTTCTCCTTCATTGGTAGTAGTTTTCATTGGACCTGCTATATCAGAGTGGATTAGATCACCTATCGCATGTGATTGAGGTTTTGTTACAGGATAAAATGGTTTTCTGGTACTTTTGTTTATCATGCATTCATTACATATTTTATCACTAAAAGGTAAGTCCATTAATTGTAAGCTTTTTCTATTTAAATGTCCAAGTCTTTTATGCCAAATATCATTTTTGTCTATAGATTGATTGCACTGTGCATTTTGTTTGATTAGCATCCTCATAGTAAATAGTTTTCCTTCTTTATAAATATGGTGTGTATTACTATGTGCATCATTAGTATATATTTTCATTTGTTCTTGTTTAATTATTATTGTCATACCCTTCTCCATTAATTTAGAAACTGATATCAAATTATGTGAAATTTCTGGTACTATTATTCCATTGATAACTATAATTTTATTCTTGTAAATTCCTTCTAATTTCCCTTTTTGTTAGCAATTAAAAATTGACCATTGGCTATTTTAATCTTCATCGGCTCATCTAGTAATTGAATGTCATACATGTACTTCTCATATTTTTCTTGGATAAAATGATGCGTTGCCCCAGAGTCTATTATAAATAAGATGTCATTGCCTTCTTTAAATTCATTTTCCAAAGTTAATGCCACAAATGTGCTTTTATTTTCCTCATGTAAATTAAATTCTTCTGTGGTGTTCGCTTGTCTAGAAAAATTATGGTGCCGTCCTCTTCCTCTATTCATATAATTATTATTGTAACCTGTTACTTGACGCGTGTAGTTATTATTATATCTGTGACCACTATTCATATAATTATTATTATAACCTCTTCCTCTATTATAATTGTTATTAAATCCTCTGTTAAAAAATTTATTGTTGAGTACACTTCCTCTATTACTTTCTCTATTATTATGAGTGATAAAATTCTTCATATCATTGTTATTAGTCATATTATTATTTAAATTGCACTGAAATGATTTGTGTCCTCTATGTTTACATTTGAAGCAAATAATAGCTGTGTTTGTAATAAACATATTTTCAGTTTTCTCCTCAATACTATTTTCTTTTAATTTATTTTCTAAATCGAGTAATCTACATTTTACAAACTCAAAATTTAATTCCTTGTCGAGGGATTCCAACGTATTTATTATGGTATCATACTCCTTTGGTAGTGTTATAAACAGGTGCTCCACCTTATCTAACTCCTCTATCTTTGCACCTCCACCTTCTAATTCGTTAATTATATTTTCAAAGTTAATTAAATGATCCTGAAGTTTATTCGAGAATTGATGTTTTAAAGTTATAAGTTTCTTTCTAAGTAACACTTTGTTAAATGTGCTTCTCCTTTCAAACACTGCACTTAATAGTTTCAACATTTCTAATGCGCTGGTCGCTGGCTTTACTACTTCCAAGAATTTATCGTTTAAGCAATTTATAATTATCAATCTTCCCTTAGCATCGTCCTTTTTATACGTCTCTTTTTTCAAATTTTCGTCTTTCTTTCCATTTAATAAATACTCAATACCTTTTTCTTCAAATAAAATGTTTAACCTGAACTTCCAATTACTAAACTTACTCCCTTCACAAAGTTGTGGAAAAACTTCTAAACTTGACATTTTTAATATATATATAGAATGAATTCAAACTTTCAAACATATAATCCTTTTTGTTTCTCAGTAAAGAGTATCATATGTAAAATATTTCTCGGGGCCGAAAGTGCTAGGTCATGGCGTCCATTTTAACAATTTTCATTTCTTCAAACGGCACGAAAACAGAACATCAGTTTTTATTTATTATTTTATCACACACATGATCAGATAACAGAGGTCCGTAGATGTGAGAATTTATATAAAATTTGATATATTTAGGCTGTTAGGCCCCTACGCAACTCACTTTAATTAAAAGACATTATTCAAACCAACACCTGTATTTCTAATAATCCGACATCTTCTTTTTTTTTTTTTTACATCCATAAACTACAGAGTACAACAATATTCCTAGAGTAAACATAGACTAATAATTTGGATACATAGATTAACAACGTTTACATATTCTAACACTAACACGTTAGAATCCTTACTTTGCTACTACTGTCTACACTAAAGAGGGAAAAATAAAAACTTTTTAACAAAAAAATAAAAACCGACTTCAAACAAAAGCACTAAAAAGTAAAAAATAACTGATTGGTAGTTTTCATTTACTATACATACCTAATCAAATATTTTCGAAGTCGGTGTGCTTTGGCTAAGTAATTAAAGCCTACCTATTAAATACATACCTAATCAAATATTTTCGAAATCGGTGCCAGCCCATACAAAGCAAAGCACACCAACTTCGAAAATATTTGATTAGGTATGTATAGTAAATGAAAACTACCAATCAGTTATTTTTTACTTTTTAGTGCTTTTGTTTGAAGTCGGTTTTTATTTTTTTGTTAAAAAGTTTTTATCTTGGATTAACACTTCGGCTTTTTACGGACGAACAAAGCGAGAGGAGCTCCAGGTGAAAAGTATAACTTATATTACTATATTTTCTCATTATGTTTAATTTAATATTAATATAATAATATTAAATTATTTTGAATATCTTTTTTAATATCTGGAACCAATGCCCGTGTTACTTCCATTGTCTTTACATCAAACGGGTTTGGCCAGTCGGGAGAAATTATCATTGCGAGTATTTGGCGTAAATATATTCACCCTCGCTTCATACGTTGTTGTAACTGAACGGTTTAAAATAAAAATCCTTCTAATTCCGCGACTGCATAAATTATATGTAATTAAAAATTAAATACTCTAGTAGTAACATATTACCAATGTTTTTATACTTTCTGTGTAAATATATGTCCGTTTTAAAAAATAAGACTTGGGGCAAGAAATAAAGTGAAATAAAAATAACTTAGATTTATCCCCTATCAAAAAAGCTTTATTTATAAGAGAACCAGCAAGTGGAAAATCGTAAATAAATAAACTCGCTTCCTTTACTCTATGTCTCACGCGACATCAAACTAGTTTTTACGTTAAGTTAAAGTTAAAGAACTTTAAATTAATTTAAACACAATATCTACAACTAAAGCGGTGTTGTAATTAAACCTTAGATATTAATTATAAATTAAATAAAAGCACGAATGGTGGAACTTCTACGTGGCGATACATAAGGCAGATACGGTTTTATGCCATTTTATTTAGCAGATAATAAAAGCGGAGACGCGACGAGTAAATCGATATTATCGTAGGATTCAGGATATCACTAAAGTAAAAGTAACGAGCTTATTCCTGTGAGGACAATTGCCTCTATTAAGCCGCCTTGTGTACATTAAGCTTGTTTACTATATGGATACATTTTATACTTGTGATGTGATACAACATGTGAAAGTTTTCAAAAATAATTTGTTTTCGTTCGACCTATTTTGTTGATCGGTACAAAGTAACAAATTCATAAAACTCACCCATATACAATGGCGATTGTCTGCTGCCCACGTTGTCATCGACATACGGTATACCGAGCGTTGCTATACCGGTCTGTCCCACGCCGACGACCAAGAGACAGATGAACAGCCACGGTATCACCACAGCAGTGATAGAAGATCTCGTGGCCGTACTTCTTGCGTGAGCATCATCACACGTAATCATTGAGGAGTTGCCGTCAGCAGAACACACGGGTGCAGCACCAGCTCTGTGCGAATCCAAATGCACATCCATCAACCGTGTCCCGTAAAGGACATGAGGAACCACGCAACCTATGACACCCACCGCAAGCACTAGCATCATGCAGGCTATCCATCTCGGCCGGTGACCGCGACCCGCCAGATACGTTAGAAACAGAGCCGTGCAAATTTGTCCAATTTCAGTGGCAGCCATCAAAGCCCCTGTCGTCTTAGACTCTACCTTAAATAACTTTTCAACAGTTGTCGTCACGCTCACGAAGTACGTTAGGAACATTCCTTGTAAAACCCATCCCGATAAGAATACCAGCATAAACACTCGCGTAGAGTGGAATGCTGTCCGCTGTCTAGATATTTCGGGTGTGGGTATTTTACAATCAAGCGAGCCATTGTTATTTCCTGTCGCTAATCGTTCTTGTTCTTCTGGTGTGGCTTCAACTCCTTTCATATCGCCGTCTTGGGGCACCGGGTCGGTGGGACCCGCCTCCCCGCCAGCAGTGACAGTCGCGACACCAGGTGCCCTGTGGCAATAAAAAAACCTCTTAAAACTAAATCCTAAACTTAAAATACTGATATACAAGGACATCATTTGGACTCACGTCATATTTTTTTGGAATGAAGCTAATCCCTAGTTATCTACCCTATTGCGTCGTCGTATTAGAAAAAAAAACAAACAAACGCTCCGTTCCGTCGATTTTAAATAGTTAACGCGATAATCTTTAAACGTTAAATGAAATCAGCGCGACTGTAGAAGAATAATTACATGATACAAAGAAGCTATACCAAATGTAAACTTTTAAGGTATTTCAAGCTGCGTGCGCGCACCCAGTGCGGCAAAGAGAGACTGCAGCGTGCAATTATACGCGACGCACTACTCTACTGCACCCGCTGCACCCGCCCCTCGGCTTGTTCCCAAAATTTTATTGGTCGCCTATCTGATTTTTTGTGCCACATACAACTTCAACACGACGAAAGATTCCCCGCACGCCGTCCTCCTCCGCTTATACAACTTGTGTCGGAACGTGCATTAACTAAAGATCTTAAGCTTCACTGTTGCATACATTGACATACAAAGATAATAAAGAAAGATAATGATCGATTTTTAATAAACAACCCATATAATAATTGTTTATTACTAACTAAAAGATTGCATATGAATTTAATTCGTGTTTGTGAAATTTTGAAACATTAAACAATATCAGTCACCGATAAACGAGGAGGATGTGTGCGCAAGTTCGCAATAATACAAGATTGGAATATTAATGAGAATTCGTACGGCTAACTGCACTCGCAGAAGTCACCAATGAGGCCGATGACCACTGGCAACAGACAGTCAGATATAGGTGCTGCACTCACTTGACCGGTTTCCGAAAGTAAACTATTTTACGATAACGCTAATTATCGATAATTAAGTAAGTATACGATAATATTGTCAAGAGATGAGTTTTTTTCACGACTGCTGATAAATGAGACATAGTGGTAACTGCATTCCGAGATAAGAAAACAACTTGTAGAATGTTCGGACTATAATCAAATCCCTATCGCAACAGCGATAACGGGACAGACTATATAGACCAGCTACTTGTGATGTGGGTCACTGACCTACCAACCTTTAAGAGAGTGCCCTATTTATCATAAGCGACTGCAATAGTCTACAACTGTAGGGGTGTAGGGTGCCTATACTATAAACTCACTCATACTTGTGTTCTAAGAAACAGCATTGAATATTTTAAAAGGAAAATCTTGATCATCTGCCAAATTTAAATTTTATATTTATTCAGTCATAAAAATATGATAAAACACTTGGAAAGTAAAATGATAAACGGATCTTGAATTTGTATAATCTCTGATTTTTAATTAACTTTCTGTTTCATGTGACGTAGATAGAAAAAGATACGTAGATTTTAAGTAGAACGCGGTGTAAAATATTATAGTAGCCTTTAGATATATAAACATAACGTTTAACATATATCAGACAACAATAAAACAAACCGGTGTCCGGGTAATCAATCTGATCGCGAGTCGAAGCGGACTCATGTCCTGAACGACGCGGGCGCGGCGTTGGCGAGACACTATTTAATTGGCCAATGTTGTAAGTCAAGCACACAAGTGGCAACTACCATACCTCTACGATCCAGTATGAATTAATAAATCTTATATTACGATCGAAAGGCAATGAATCACAACCGTTGAAAACGCGAGGTCTATTTTGGCGATTAAATAAAATACCTCCGAACAAAACATTAATAAAATGATGATTAGTTTATATGAAACGCTCGTGTGTTAAATCAGATGATAAATTATACACGAGGCAGGAAACAAGGTGTTACTGAAACCCGCGTGATGACACTTACCATTCAGTGACATTCCAATAATGAATAATGGTCGAGCGTTCAAGCATATCCTTAACGTCAACCCACATCAAATTCCGTCTTTCCTTAGATTGAATGGAAAACAAAAAGATACAGTCGGGAAGCAAACAAGCCTCATCGTATTCCAAACAAATGTATGAACTCATGCATGTGCTTTGAAATTCACATCGAACGCGACGGGCGTCGTAAGACTTTTAAAGACTCGGCAAATGGATAATAAATCAAACCGCAACTCTGTTTGACCCAAAGTGTATTTAACACAATGTAATCGTTATATTAGGTTTAATAAAATCAAATTCATTAGTAATTCATTATTAGAATATTTAACTTCTGTATAACGTAAAGAAAAATATAAAATAGTGTAAATATTTTATACATTATATGAAGACAATATCATAAAAAGTTTGATTAAGAAAACAACCCCTATACTCAGTATACAGATGACATAATTTATGGGATAAATTATATGACTAACTTAAGTCAGCAAAATAATAACTAAAATGTATGAAAAAAAACGTTTTAAAAGGTTGCATGCAAGGCAAAGGTTACAAAGGACTAACAAAAACTTTTTAATGAGTTGGGCTTGTTTAACCATACTCAGAGACGAAATAAAACAACATCAATATTTTAAATTAACTTCGACGAAATATAAAATAAGCATGCAAACGTTATTATTTCAATAATAATACTTAGGTATTGTAAGATGAAAAAAATCTCGAAGTTACGCTATGGATACATAGAAACAAATACTTTGAACGTTTTCTTTTGAATTATTTTCCGACGTATCAAAATTGACTAACGAATTGGAGCCAATATGCGAGATTTTCTTGTATTTCGTATCGGAGTGTGCACGTTAGTTGGAACTAGACAACTAGGTCTAATCTTTAATCTTCTAATCGTCGTTTATGATGATTATACCATTCTTGAACATGCCTAAGTGAGAGGACAGAGAAGTCAAGGCAAGTGAGCAAGTATGATGGGAAAACCTTTCAAAACATCTGAATCTGTAATCTAGTTAGCAAGCCCTATCAGTACATTATGGGAAGAAGTTTAAGTAAATTCTTACTACTCTTACAAAAATACATTTTCCCTTGTACCTACTATTGGAGATAAGCTATTGAAACGAAGTGCACTGACATCCAAGTTTATCTCCATCAGCCGACCATACGAGCGGACCCGTGGGCAAAATCTAATTAATTATACGTATAAAAATAGGCAGTTGTAGCCCAGTGGTAAAGTACAGTAAAGTAGTATGATATCGCACTCGCTTGGGAATATAATGAAGCGGGTTCAATCCTGGCACCTCTTATATTTTCATGTATGAATCATTTCTAACACGATTACCACTTGTTTTACGGTGAAGGAAAATATCGTGAGGAAATCTGCATGTCTGAGAGAACCTAACAAGTTTTCGAAAAATATGTAAAGTCCGCCAAACCGCACTTGGCCAGCGTGGTAGACTGTAGCCTTATCCTCCTAGCATTGAAGGGAGGCCCGTACCTAGCAGTGGGACGTCAAAAAGATCTGAATAATACATACGTGTAATCAGACATTTACATGTACTAAAACTTACACATTTATAATATAAAGTACCTAATAGATTTGCTCTGTCGAAAGCAAAATAATATCAAAATTGGTTGAGCAACATTAGCAAATTTTATCTAAATAGTATCATTTGGTTTACATACACTAGACAAGAATATATAATATCATATGGGCGTTATCAATATAAGTTTTATGTAAATATCGACATATAAATGACACACTAAGTTTCATTAAATAGATTCAATCTAGTTATTAATTAAAAATTACAGTTAAATACCCTACAATACAATAAATCAGATTACTGCCGTTGTCTAGCGAGGGAAAGAAGAAAAAACGTACTTAGTATAATTGCTGCATTAAATCTGATAAAGTTCATTGGTAACGATATATCATTATACAGGCCGTTACATTAATGGTCATGCAAGCAATAAACTTCAATTGCATTCCGACATAATAAAAACTAATAAAGACTGCGGGAGCTACTTAATGTTTTACGATCGCTGGGCACCGGTTGTGACATGGTTTTCAATTTTGAGACCACGCTTACTTTTCTCACTTCACTTTCCGTACTATTCTATATTGGATCTTTTGTATTTTATGATGTAAACATCCGCAGATAAACGGTATATTACTAAAATAATCGATCTGTTTTATGCTATTAACGAAGAACTAATGAGAGACTTTGTATAAGATATTTTATGGTTACAGCCAACTAATCTTTCTTTGAAAGCAGGTTTCCTGGCTTCGATTTTCGTGTTCTACAACAAATATTTGTTAAAGGGATCTTAGGGATCAACCAGAACAGAGAAAGCAAGTTACTGCTTGTATAATGTTTTTAAAAGAAGATATTTTAGTTTTTACAAACGTTGTGACATGTGGCCAATAGATATAAACTTTTCGTCGTTAAAGTTATACATATTTTTATTATTAATTGCATCATACAATGTATTGGCCACTGGTGTGCATAAGTGCAAATCATTATGATGTCCATACCTTTGGCAATCATATTTCGATACGTAAATGCGATATCTACAATTGGGCCAAGGAACTGGATTCAAACTAAATATCTCCTCGATTATACCGAACGCGTATTATATGTACGGACTCTACATTTTTTATATAAATTAAAAACTTCATATTTTTAGATGTATTCCAATTTAATATATAATTTTACTAGCGACTCACCCTCGCTTCGCTCGGGTTCGTCCCTACGTTGGTTCCCCGTACAAACTTTCATCTCCATTTTCACCCCCTTATGGGATGATTTCCAGGATAAAGCTATCCTATGTCTTTCCCAGAGTCTCAAAATATCTACTTACCAAATTTCATCTAAATCGGTTCAGTATTTTAGGAACCTATTCGGTACAAGCAAACAAACAACAAAAAATCAAATCTTTCCTCTTTATAACATTAGTATAGATGGGTAGATACCGTCTGTATCAACTACGAGTATATAATAACTTTTGAAACGTCTAAAACTTTAGTCTCTCTCGTGACCATAATTTCTGTGAAACAAAAACCTAAATAATAAATAAATCCGCGAAGAAATACCGAAAAGCTAGTATTATTTAAATTAACAGCTCAATATGCAGCCTCTTTAAGTTTATAGATTAATTATACATACATGTTTGTTTTAAACTTTGGCCGAATTCATTAACCTTCAATAAATAACGATTTAGATATTAGAGACAACAGAATAAACAAAAAAACAATGTCAAATTAATAATAATAATAATAATAATGTTTTTATTGGGAACAACAACGGAACCATTTTTGTTAGTAACACTTTAGGAACTACACTTTATACACTAGGGTTAGTAACAAATACAAATACATATTTAATGAGTCATGTACTTACGAGGCATGTCATGCGGGCAATGATTCCGCATGAGATGCCTCAGTACAGGAGCTCTCGGGTCCTCAGCCACGATTTTCAGGATGCTGTTGCTACTCCCTCGAACCCTTGTAATAAGCGAGGCCACCTTTTTCCTGATTAAAGCGTGGAAACTATCTGTATGTGATTGGGCAAACATCCCCGAGGCACTACAGAATCGAGGGAGTTTCAACATCATCCTGAAAACATTGTTGTATTGGACACGCAGTGCGTTTAACGCCCCCCGTGAACAGCTGAACCACAGACTTCCCGTGTACAGGCCTTGACAGTACGCTTTAAACAAGGTTATTTTGACGTCATCAGTACAACGATAAAATCTGCGTGCCAGCATGTTCCCGCGGACAGCCAACGCCCTGCGCTCCCTTTCAACGTCGTCATCGTCTTTAAGGTCGTCGACAAGTATATGACCCAGATATTTAAACTTAGTTACCTGCTTTATATTAGCACCGTTTAGAGTAATTGAGGGAATGGTGTCTGGGTACTTGCCGGCGGCCCTGAAGACCATGAGCTCGGTTTTCCTTACATTATAAATAAGGCCATGTGATGCGGCGTATTTTTCACAAACCTTCAGCATCTCTCGGATTGATCTCGCAGTCGGGCCCAGCAGCACCATATCGTCCGCGTAGCTGATGTTGTTCACACAAACACCCCCTACCCGGCAACCGACACGCATGCCGCTGAGCTCGACTATGAGGTCATTTACATACAAGTTAAACAGCTTTGGAGAGGACAACCCCCCCTGTCTAACTCCGCACTCCAACCTGTATGTTTCCGAGAGGCAGTTTGACCACCTAACACAATTAGTCTGATTCAAGTACCAGTATTGAAACATTTTCAGCAGTTCCGCGGGCATACCCCTATCCTCCATCTTTCTCCAAAGCACTTCATACGAAACGAGATCGAAGGCCTTGGAGAGATCCAGAAAACAGGCGTATACCGGAGTCTTCCGTTCAGTGTAGTATTGGACAGTGTGCTTAAGAGCCAGAATCGCGCTTTCAGTTGACAGTCCAGGTCTAAACCCGAACTGTGCGTCATGTATGTTTATGTACTTATCCAGACAAGACTCAAGCACACTATCCAGCACTTTTGCTACAATTGTCGCAAGAGAGATCGGGCGATAATTTCCCTTGTCCGAAATGTCTCCTGTCTTGTTCTTCACTATGGGCACCACTATCGTTTTCATCAAATCATCCGGTAAGTATGAATGACTAATGCACATATTGAAGAACATGGACAGGACCCTCGGCATGTGTACGCCAGCATATTTTAAGTGCTCAATACTGAGCCCATCGTGGCCCGGAGATTTACCTCTACGCATACTATTTATCACTTTTTTAATTTGTTCCTCTGTGAATTTAAGTAAAGGCTCCTCACCCGCCACGGTGGGCCCACTATCTGGAGTAGTGGTCGAAGAACCCAGAGGAGAGCGTACTTTAAAGTGTTCCATGAACAAATTGGCTATATCCTCGGGATTATTTCGGCCATCAACGTTCGCAGGGAGACCAGGCTTAACATCAAGCTTACCAGTGAGCTTCCAAAACTTTGTAAAATCTTTTTCGGCTCTTTGTTTAGCAATTTTATCCATTTTAA